TGGAACATATTTTTAAGAATTTGACTAATATACTCCTATTTCAGTTTGCCTTTCCCCCCCCCCCCCTTTTTACTTTTGCGCTACTTCTTTTTAATGAAATCACAAAGTTTGGCTGGTGATTGCACTCTGTTGTAATGAGTATTTGGCTGGTGATTGCACTCTGTTGTAATGAGGGTGGAGTATGTTTGTCATTCTGTAACCATGCCTGATTTTTGCATTAACAAGCCAACATCTAGAGCAGTACATCTGAGTATCCTAAAATTTGTTTTTGTGAAGCTATCACTATGCAGTCAAAGAAAGCATCTATTGTGTAAAAAATTCAGCTTTTCTATATAATATTAGAAAGCTATTGACATATCACTATGATTTACCTTTAAATTTTTTTTTATAGTGGCAGTTACATGTCCTTCACAACTATTAAAAAAATTAGCAGAATGCATTCCTTTTTCCAACAGAGCAGAATTTGATAAAGTTGCTCCAGTTCATGGTCTATTTAAATCTCAAGAAATATCAAACAGAAAGAGACTGGGTTGGGTTCGAAAAGAATTAAGGGGAGGCATTTATTTTTTAAATAAATCAAAAATAAGTTCTGAGAACCACAAATATGACATGCTTAGATTCATTATAAGCCAGAGAAAGGTGATCGTTTGTTCTTTGTCTTTTGAAAAGCAATGATTTGCGTTGCACCTGATATTTAAAATGATTATTTAATTGATTGGAAAGCTAGCAGAAAAAAAAAGTTAAGTCCATTAGATTTGTAATGAGGGGGAAATGATGGTATGTTTCACCTAAAGTAAAAGAGACAATATGTAATAAGGGATTTTGTGGTTTTACAGCTCAGTGCATGTGTTTGAAAGCTGTGCTCTCAGCTTCGTGGGTGGCAGGTTATGCTACCATATAATGTATTGTAGTTGGCTCTCCACACTTGTCAGGGTTAGCATTCAACCATTCGGAAAATTTTCCCATTGTTCTAGCATGTGAACCAAGACTAGTGTTGAATTCCCAATAACTTGACAGATGGGGGAGGGGAAATAGCTTAATCACAGTTCAAACTTTCTAATTACTTTTCTTATTAACATAATGTATTTTGCATAACTCAGACCATTGATGTGTGAGCACAACTTACTTACAGTTATTTAAGAGCAACCTATTCTACAGGGTTAAGATAAATTTTATTATACTATCCTCTGGCTTCCTTCAGCACTGGCTCTCCGTTTCCATCTTAAACATGTTTGCTTTAGATGGGCCATAGCTTTTGGCAGCTTTTGCATTTTTAGCAAATAATGCTGTTTCTAGCAGACTAGCGAGCAAAAAAAAACAAAACTTTGTGTGAGGTCCTTGTAAACTGAACCTCAGGAACGTTATGTTTCTGTATTTTCTGCTTTGTGCGTCTTCCTTATTCGTGTCATGGTTATAAATTATATAGTTTGAAATGAAGAATTAAGAACATTCTAGCTTGTGACTCTCTGAAAAGAAAAAATAGGTAGGGTGCAGCTTTCTCTTTTTATGCGCTTGGCTTTATTTTCTTTTTACCTGTTGTTTTCAAGGCTGGCATGCAATGAAATAAGCAGTTATGACATTGAAGCTCCATTGTGCCAGGGCTTAATCCAATAAAAACAGAAATACCGCCTGCTGAGCTGCACATGCAGCATGCTTGTGTGAACATCAGTGTTTGCTGTTCACACACCATTTTTTCCCCTTAAAAGTTCTCTTTGGAATATTGGGGGGGAAAAAATACTTGAGTCTTGTTGTCTTTTACATTTTAAAGTTTGTAGTGAATATTATTAAATTTGCTGGTCATTACCACATTGAAAAAAAGGTTTTAAAAAAACCTTTTATCCTCATCTCAGTGGAGATGAGAGGATTAGATAAATATATTTTTTCTGCTTTCTCAGAAAAAAGCAATGCTCTACTAACCTGTTTTCTTCTTTTTGTCTTGAAAGGGGAAGGAATCAAGGAATGTTTGTGTTTATACATGCGTGGTAGTTGGGGAAAAGATAATTTAATACTGGAATGTAACTACTGAAGATATTAAACTTGATTTTCATTTTAGATGAACTATCCCTTAGCTTCTATTTTTTAAAAAAAAGATTGACCCAAGCACTTTTGACACTAGCCTTAAAAAGAGCTGGCTGACAATATGATCTAAATATAATTGGCTAGATCAGTTACATTTGTATTTAGTTAAAAGTGTTCTTCACTTCCCATACAAGATGTAGGAAAAAGTAATTTTAAAAAGCTACTGTTGTTGCCTTTTTTATTTACAAAATCTGTCATTTCCCTTAGCTTTCACTTAGTTAAATAGTGTTTTCTAAACTTCCGGCATCTCCTTATTGTTAGGTGACCTGCCTAAAGCAAAAATATGTTGCTGGTTATAATTTCAGGTCAGTGTAATCATAATGGAATAACTTGTAGGTGGTCAAGAATAGAAAACATGCAAGCAATTACAATTTATTGTTATACTTGGAATGCAGGATATCCTCTTCAGTTTTTAAAAACATGGTTTTCTCTGATACAGTTGCTGTATTTATTGCTGAGATAATGATCTGGCATTGAAATAACACTACTGCCTTAGATCGCTCAAAATCCTGGTTCTAAAACAAAACCAAAAAGGAATTGCTAGAGATAATCTTTTCATGTGAATCCACAGTGTTCTATATTTGTTTTACCCTACCATGTATAAAGTTTAGCAGATAAAAAGGTGAGAGATAATGTTCCCTTTGACTTCTACATTTATGAAATAAGAATTTCAAGCTAATTTGGAATGGAATGGAATGTTTTTTATTGGCCAAATGTGATTGGACATACAAGGAATTTGTCTCCGGTGCATAAGCTCATAGGGTATATAAAAATAGCAAGTAATAATCATATTAGATTATAGATCATAATTATAGTTACAATCATTAATTATAAGTTACAAACAACAATTGATAAATCAACTAGAGAGCATTTCATCGAGCATTTCATTAGCAGCGCCATCTTTAACAGAACCTTTAAAAATTTATTACTTTTTTCTTTTTCTTAAAACAAGACAGATTGTTTAAACTTTAAATGCAATTGGAAAAACTGTTACTATTTTGTAGATCATCACCTGAGGTATTCATATCATTGCATATTGCTGCAAAACCCTTACAGCTGGTTTTTTACGCACTGAAAGATGAAATATTCATTGAATTTAATATTTGCATATGTTTTTTCTAGTTAGAGCTAAGTAATATGCTTAGTCTTTATAAACAGACATTTTAAAATGTGTATTCATTTGTACAGAAAATGCCAAGGTACGATGGAATAAGATAGACGAAGAATATGTAGTGGATAGAACCACCCTTTCTGATTTCCTCCCTAATCCAGCATTTAGGTTAATAAAAATAGCATTCTATCTCCAAAGATTTATTTGATTATAGCATTTCAGCTTTTACTTCAGGGTCCTATTTTTTTTGCTTATGTTTTTTTTAATTTATATGTACTTGTATTTTACAAAAACTATAAATGAAGTAGGATCCTGTTATATTAGTACAAGTAGTCCTCAAATCATAATTGGGCCCAAAATTTATGTTGCTAAGTGAGACATTTGGTAAGTGAGTTTTGTCTCATTTTACAACTTTTCTTTTTTTCTTTTTTTTTTCTTCTTCTTTTTTTTTTAATTTGATTTATATGCCGCCCTTCTCCGGAGACTCAGGGTGGCTTACAATGCGTTAAGCAATAGCCTTCATACTTTTGTATATTTATACAAAGTCAGCTTATTGCCCCCACAAACTGGGTCCTCATTTCACCTACCTTAGAAAGGATGGAAGGCTGAGTCAACCTTGAGCCTGATAAGATTCGAACCTGCAGTAATTGCAGGCAGATGTGTTAATAACAGGGTGCTTTAAACCACTGTACTACCAAGGCTCTGTGGTCTTCTTGCCACAGTTGTTACGTGAATAATTGCAGTTGTTAAGTTTATAACCCGGTTGTTAAGTGAATCTGGCTTTCCCATTGACAGAAGGTCACAAAAGGGGTCCACATGATCTAGGGACACTACAGCCGTCCAAGATCCAAATCTTGGTCACGCATCCATGAGGATGGTGCAATGGTCACAAATGTGAAAAATGGTCTTAAGTCACTTTTTTCAGTGACGTTGTAACTTTGAAGGGTCACTAAATTAACTGTTGTAAGTTGAAGACTACCTATATAAGGAAGTAAAATGTTCTTCTCACCTGCTGAAATTTAAACATACTTCTGTTCAATTGTACAGATGCAAAAATACTTTAATACCATTGCTTAGCTTATTATGTTTTATTTGTTCCTTTAGTCATATTCAGGAGATCTCTCTAGACATAACAAACAATTCTGGAAATAAATTATGAACTTTCATTTACACATTCATAGTATTTTTCCATTATGAATGATATAAAACAGGACAAACTAAATATGCAAAGACTGGAAGTAGAAGAAAAGTATTTTCCGTGAGTCTTTTCAAGCCACAGTACAAAAAAAAATAGCATGCAATATAATAGTAGAAATAACTAATTATTTATTCTTTGAAGTTTAGAATAATTTAAGTCTAATAGAACGTCTGTGCCAGAATCTCATGCAGGGGAAGTCTCCTGGCTTCGAATACGGTCTGCTGCTTACCCCCCAATTTCTTCTGAAGTTTGGGGAAACTCAAAGAAAACCGGGAAAGTGAAGAATTGAAGGAAATGGATTCCTGTGAAATACATTATTTCAAAAGGCATTGCAGTTTTATGCCGAGTTCTTACACTAATATAATCCCAGTGACAAATGGACAAATATTTTATATTAATAGGTGATCTTTGCAAAATAAATAACCCACATCTAGTGCAGAGTAGGACAGTCAGTTAACCAAATACAAGAGAAGGGGATAGGAAGGGAGAAAAATAAAACAGCCAGTGTTGGAATGTTTTCTGACGCTAGTAGGAAAAAATCAAAATTAAAAAATTAAAATGAATTTTTGTCCTGAAGAGAAACGTTTGTAGATTTATGTTTTGTTATTCTAGAAAAGAGGTGTCAAACTGGCGGCTCGTGGATTGGATGCATCATGTGCAGGCCACACCCACCCCAGCTCTGTGAAGGTAAAAAACATCACGAAATGTCACGTGATGCTCTGAGTTTGACACCCATGTTCTAGAACAGTGTTGCTGGAGAATTCTGGGAGCTGAAGTTCACTTTCTTTAAAGTTGATAAGGTTGATAAAACCTGCTCCAGGCTAATCCATAGCTATCAAGCTCTTTTTAATGTTTATTAGTTTATCGAAATATAAAATACAAAGAAAAAGGAAAATAATGGGAAAGTAGGAGAAGGTAAAGTGTAGGGTAAAAAAGAAAATTTTAAAAAAGCATTGACTTCCAATTCTTTTTAGTACACTAGAATAAGGTAATAACATATAACCAGTGGTGGGATTCAAGTAATTTAACAATGCCCTAATGATTTCTTCCAACAACCAGTTTGCCAAACTGCTTTGGCAGTTAACAACCGGTTCTCCCGAAGTGGTGCGAACTGGCTGAATCCCACCACTTCATACAACCTCAGCTTTTTACTTTTACATAGTAATATTAGTAGCCATTTCTACAACAAAAACCCAGCAAAACCCAAAATCAAAGTTTTATATTTTTCTACCTCAAGCCCAAAGACCACAAGTGGTTTCCAAGTAGATACAAAATTAGTTGTATTCTTTTCTTTAATTAAAGCAGTCAATTTGGCCATCTCTTCTAACTTCACCAGCTTTTGCAGCCAGTCATCCATTGCGGGAAATAAAATATCTTTCTATTTCTGTGCATAGAGGATTCTTGCGGCTATCATATAAAATTAAAGTTCCAATTTTTTTTCAAGGTCTTTGTCCATTAGGCCTTAAAAATAAATTCCTGGTTTTACCTTTATGTACATTTTAAGAATCTTCTGTATGAAAACATGACTCCTTCTCCAGTATTTCTTTGCTTTGTTTATCAAGCTCTTTTTCATATTCAAATAAGCCACAGGCTATGGCATATTTTAATCTGACATCTCTCTTTAATGTAGGGGTGGGGGCGGAATTGTATGAAAAAATTAGCCCTAAGCTCAAATTATAGTGACCCCATCTTGTTTTCCACTTTAGGTCAGAGTGCAGTCCATTAGTTTCATTCCAATAATGAAAGACTAATGCTCTAGAGAAGCTGCAAGTTATCAAATACGATTGTTTAGAAAATTCTTTTGTTTGTTCAGAACACTTTGTCTGCAGATCTTGGCTGAAAGAGCATAAAACCAATAGACCGGACATGTTGTCATTCTTAAAACAATCCAATATGACAATCATTTAGAGGGATGTATCATCTGCAAAATAAATATATTAAATCATTGTATGAGGTATTGTCTAAAATTTAGCCAATTGTTATTTGTGTATATTTCCACTTTTTGTGTGAATGTTAATCTTGTTCTAAATTTTTGTGTTCAGTAATACTTGGTTATATTTTACTTTCCAAAATCCATCTAATATGGACTACTTAATAATATACTACCATTGGAGAAAAAACTAGTAATAATGGTGAAACCCCTAAATGTACCTTGATAAGACATATAGTCCCAGATTAAATTGATTTATATTACATGTATCCATTTATTTATTTCCATGTATATTTGAACAAAAATATGATTTTAAAATGTCTATTTTAGGACTTTATTAAATTTACTATTTATTATGATTACTTAATTAACTATTGATTTGTTATCTTATAAAGTCTATTAGTGAAATCAGATATGGAAGGTAGACCCAAAAAATTGTATGTATCTCTCAGTGTTGTTATCAATAAAGTATAATGGCTAAAATCCAAAAGAGTGCTACTACATATAAAGTCTGTCAACTTTCCAACTAGCGGACCCAAAAGAAGTGAACACTCTCAGGCACTTTGAATTCCCAAAAGTAAAACTTTATTGGTTACATCATTTTGCCACTGAAGAATCAAAACCAGCTCTGGTTTCCCCACACAAAGTCTTGCTTAGTTAAACAATAGCTTCCCTTTCTACCCACCCCTGGGTGTTCACATTGTCCAATTATGAAATGTCCTTTTGTTATGGGAACAATCCACCTCCTTCTCAAGTACCTGCAGTGGTGGCCTTGATAGCTTCCAGGCTCTCACGCTCTGTGCACAACATCTCAACATTCCATTCCACCCTTCCCTCCACGCAGTTAATTGGCAAGTTGAATAGTGCTAAGGTTCAAAAGAAGCAAAGCAGTTCAATCTTGACACAGTCTCTCTATGATATCAAGTTCTCAAGAGCTTAGCTGATAGTCAATTCATTTAACTCCTCTTTGGTTCAATTAACAGTGCTAGAATTTGTTACTGCATCTGTATATATTAGTTACCACTTTGGCGAGAGTGTGATTTTCTTACGTTTAGAAATTATTCTGTGGAAATTGGATTTTTAATACCCTTAATACTTTTCACATTTTAATTTATATCACAGTATGATACATGGCATTCTTTTCCTACATGGGAAAAGTATTATACAACCATTGTCCGCTATGTCTATACATAGCAAAATACATAATCATGGGTCTATATTCGATTCCATTTATTTATTTAAAAATATATTCAGCTGCCTAACTTGTAAAACACAACTCTAGCCAACTCACAACATTTTATCCTATTTCCATGTCTGAAAGAAGCCCTATATAAAGCAGAATTTCCCATTCTCTAAAACAGTTATTAAACTGCCATCCTAGCCCTATATCATGCTGGGGAGTGGTAGAAGTTATAGTTTACCAGTTTATGGGGAACCACAGATTCCCCCATCTCCTTTAAAACTTTATTGGGATGTGTTGACCAATGTCCTTCCATACCACTGTTAATTTTAATGTTCTTTCTTGTATTAAATGTTTTCTTTTAAATTGTTGTTAAAGTTATAGTCACATTAAGTATTTATTTGCGCTGGGTGTATTTTGTGGGCTATTCAGGAATGTCTGTTTTAGCTTCTTGAGCGAGTAGAAAGCTTTTCTGATCTAATGCTCTGAAATAGCCATATCTAGACCATTTACAGGAGGTGACTGAGGGCCACACAGTCACCTACTTAGGTGGTCGTTACATGTCTAGGCCAATGAGCTTGCCTCTTTACAGTGAGTCCTTTGACTGAGCTAACTTCTGTGTTTCTCATAAAGTTTCTCCTGTGGTGTTCTTCCTTTTGACTCATTTGGAATTTCTGAAGTTTCTCTTGGATATGCTTCACTTTCTTGCTGGAATTGGTACATCATTTGCTATTAACTTGTTCTCTTCCTTCCTAAGCAAAGAAATGGCAGGCACTCAAAATTTGCATCTTTATGTGTTGACAGTTCCAGCTTTGGAATTACACAGCAGCATATTTAAACTGGGTTTTTGTAGTTAATATTATAATATGTGGGAGACCTTGATCAGAAGTTGCAGAATTCAGGATAATGATCCATTTCCAACAAACTATGTATATACCAACAAGGTATATACATATACAAGTATGTACCATCAAGCATACAGCCAATACAGGAGAAAAAGGTTGATTTTTGCCATTATAAGTGATATCAGTCAGGCAATGATAATATTACTATTAGAAAAGACTCTTCACTATATTGCAGAGTAACATACCCATTAAAATCATAATTTTAAGAAATCTGGTAAGATAGCTGAATTCTGAATAGCTTTCTGCAGCATAAATTCTGCTATAAAGGGCAGTGTTGCAAAGAAGAAGTGAAAGAGGAGTTATTTATTTCACAACACAACAAACAACAACACAACACAACACAACATAACATAACATAACATTTAAATAGCCAGCTATCTTTCAGCTAACTCTCTGGTGACTTCCAATCAAAAAGTAGATTGATGAGGATGTAGCAACCGCTAAGAAAAGGAGACGCGGAAGCAGGGAACACAAATATGACTTGAATGTTTGATGAAGTAAAGACAAAAGGTGATTTAGGGAGCAATGGCTGAAAAATACTTTATTTTACTATTGAGAAATTGAGTCTGAAATCTATAATAGATTGCCAGAAATGTTTGAAATAAATGGACTGAAAACATTTCGGAATACAAAAGCTAGCCTGAATGTAAAACTTATATCAAGGAACAATTGTTCAAATAAATAGATAGGTGGGCTGCATTTTCTGATTGGGTGCCACTGATTGTAATGAGGAATTCCAGTTACATTAACAGTGATTCTAATGATCCATCAAAAATATCATTGGGTGGTCAGGAGACTCTGCTGAGGGAGACATAATAGTACAGGGTGGGGAGTGCTGGATGAGAAATACCTCACTCAAAATTGGCTGGACCTCTGTCCAATCCATTCCACTAAATACATCAATTAACCAATTATAGATATCATTCAAGAAGTGCAGGTAGCTGTGGAGATTGCAAGGCAATGGGAAACTTACCTTCCATTCATTTAATTATAAATTAATAGAACAAGATACATACCATTTTGTAACTATTCTATTGATTTTAATAAAATATCATTATGGTATGATATCTAGTTTTTAAAAGTTGGCTTAAATTAAAAAGGGTGCTTCATTTTTATTTATTTATTTGTTTGTTTGTTTGTTTTAATTTGTATACCGCCCTTCTCCAACAGGACTCAGGGCGGTGAATAGCCAAAATAAAACAGAACATACAAAATTTAAAAACAGTTTAAAAATAATTAATTTTTTTTGGCCACAATTTAAAACAACCCAATTAAAATCAATTCAATTTAACCAAAACAGTGGGATCAAGACAGCGTCATATATTCTGTATCCAGCTTTTAGATATACATTGTAGTGAATTACATGACACCTCCTTTTAAGTAAATTTGAATGTAATTACCTTTAATATTAGTTTTTTTTAAAAAAAAATCAATCTTTTTTTTACTGATTTTAATTAATATCTTATTTTTAGATTCAAAAATTAACTTTTCTGTCTCCAGCTAACATCTGAGTTTTAACACTTTGGCTATCCATGTGGACATATTACTGGACATATTCGCATGCGACAATAAGCTACAATTTTCAATATTTTGGTTAAATTATGAAAAAAACAACATGCTAACAGGCACTACTAACAAACCATCATAATATCTGTGATTTATTTGTTGCAGTGTGTAGATCAGAAGAAACAATAGTCAGAAGGCATAATTTTTGATTTCTGATGCTTAAAAAAATTAGAGATCCTACATGTAATTTTAAATTATGGATGGAATTATATGGGTTTCTTGCAAAAACTATTTACAAGCCATCAAATAGTGTGTAGTTTACTAGGAGCATTTTCATGGGAAGAATGTTGGTTTATCGCTACATGTGAATGCTCCTGGGGTCACAAAAATAACATGTCATTAAAATGCAACAACTTGAGTTATGCAACATGAAGGATTGGGGAGGTTCACCTTTGTGATTTGTATATTCATTAGCCATGTGGAGGAGAGCACAGGAGCATATTTATCAAGGGTGGTGATTGTAGCATACTAAAAAATAACTTATCTATAACTGCCAAATTTCTGAAGTATTAGATATTAATTTTATTGCTCATGCTAATAAATAATTTGAACATAGTTCTTTCTATCTCTGTTTCCTATAACACACCTTTCTTTTCCTTTCTAGCAACTTGAATTAGTGGAGCCAAGTGGTTGGATTCATGTTCCCTTAACTGACACTCATAAGAAACCTATTCGCACATTTATGATTCAGATTGCAGTTTTAGCCAATCATCAGAATGGAAGAGATACACATATGCGACAAATTAAGGTTTATACACCAGTTGAAGAAAGTTCTATTGGTAAATTTCCTAGATGTACAACAATTGATTTCATGATGTATCGCTCAATCAGGTAAAAAATATTTTTGTACTGTAATTACCCCAATTTTAATTTAATTTCAAAATAAAGATTTAAAATCCACTTGTTTATACTGTATTGTTGTGTTGTTACAGATTACTGAGTTCTAGTCCTGTTGTCCAGAGATATTTCCTTACCTAAACAGAGAAACAGAATGACCATAGGTGGGCAAAAAAGCTGTGGGAGAGGAAGCAAATTCTGACTTCCTGCTGGCTTCTCCATTGAGTTTTCTTGTGGGAAGCTGGCAGGAAGCACTGGAAACCTTCCTTCCTTCCTCCCTCCTTCCCTCCCTCCCTCTCCTTCTGCTCCTCCCTTGATCCCTGCTATCATCCTTTCCAAGATATTTCCTTACAAGTTCCTCCATGCCTTTCAACAATGACAGAGCTTCTAAAGGTATTGCCTTCACTGGAAAAGTAGGGATACATTCAGATATGTAACTGCCTTGAAAATAGCTAGCGTTGAGCTATATAGCACATTCAAACATCAGCACAGGTAATATTTTATGACATTTTGTATTATATCATAAACTGCTTTGTGATCCTTTTTATGTCATGTTTTATAAAATTTGCCAAATATCAAATTCATGAGAATCATGGATCCCAGATTTTGGATGCTTTCTATAAGTTAACCCATTGAGGTACCTTGCTTCAAAATGTTTTGCCCTATGGCCATGATGGCGAACCTATGGCATATGTGCCACAGGTGGCATGTGTAGCCATATCGGGCATGTGAGCTCAGCTCTGCCAGCTGATTTTCAGGCCTTCTGGGCCCACCATAAGTAGGGAAACAGGCTGTTTCATGCCTCCGGAGGACCTTGGAGAGTGGTGGGGAAGGCCAGTTTTTCTCTCTCCCCAGCCTCCAGAGCCTTTCTAGGAGTCTAGGAAGGGCAAAAACGGTCTTCCCCACCCCTGGAGGCCCTCCGGAGGCCAGAAATGGCCCATTTGCCAACTTCCACTGGGACCGGACTCCTAGAAAGGCTCTGGAGGCTGGGGACAGCAAAAAATTGGCCTTTTGGTCCCACCAGAAGTTGGCAAATGGGACGTTTCCGGCCTCCGGAGGGGGGAAGGCCATTTTCGCCTTCTCCAAACTCCTAGAAAGGCTCTGGAGGCTGGGGAGGGCAAAAAACGGGCCTACTGTGCCATCGTGTGCCAGGTCTGGGGAAGGGGGTGTTGCACGCACATGCACGGGGGCAGGGCGCATAGAATTATGGGTGTGGGCGTGTGTGCGTGCAACAACCCCCCCCCCGGTCCTGGCACGCAACGGCAAAAAGGTTAGCCATCACTGCCCTATGGTATACTGTTGAAGGTTAATGAATCGATTTTAGTGGTATATAGGTAGATGGTGGTGCAGCGGACTAAAGTGCTGTTAAGTAGCACTTAGCTTCCAGCTGCCTGCAATTACTGCGAATTGAAATCTCACCAGGCTCAAGGTTGACTCAGCCTTCCATCCTTCCGAGGTAGGTAAAATGAGGACCCGGATTGTGGGGGCAATAAGCTGACTTTGTATAAAAAAGAACACATCTGGGGGGGGGGGGGCGAAAGCCCTACTAAGCAGGTATATACAAAAGTATGAAGGCTATTGCTTAACGCATTGTAAGCCGCCCAGAGTCTCTGGAGAAGGGCGGCATATAAATTGAACCAATAAACAATAAATAAATAAATAAACATGCCTCAAACCAGAAGTGATACAGAAAGTTTCCTGGTGCAGAAATCATTGGAGGGAAATATAAAGATTGCTATGTAAATCTGCTCCTCCTGTTTGTCATGTCATCATCTAAAGCCTTTGAAACTGTCAGAAACTATAGCACAGACTATTTTCAGCTGAAATAACCTAGATGCTTTATAAATGTTCATTTGACACAGACATTTCTGTCTTTCAGTGCTGAGCTTAAATCATTTTAATAGTCTTTGACTTTAGCAAGGAATAACATGGTTTTGTTATTATTACATTGTTTGCCTGCTTTGCAGGTGGTGGTTCTCCTATATTGATATTTGTATGCTTATTTGATTTTAATTTATGTAGATTTCTGCTTGACTATTATTTTTGGATTGCAATTTATTTCAAGTCTTTGTAGTGGAAAGTTTACAGAGAGAAATACTTATACTAGCATGGTATATAGAATACCATAGATTCTTTGAATGGAATTGGGTCCTATGCCTAATTACACATTGTAATTTGACTTTTGTGGAAAATTCACGTATTTTCATATGTTATAAATGAAATAAAGAGAACTATGCAATAAAAAACCACTTCAGAATAGAGTGGCATTCTACTGAACCAAATCTCATCAGTTTAAATGGAATTAATTCTTCCAAGAACTTGGAATTTAAGATTCCAGGAAATAATCAGTTATATTCTTAATTGTTAATTGTCCAATTATATATTTCTAGAAATGTGTTACCTTTGTTTTTGTTTTTTTAAAAGATGATCTAATTACAGTATATCACAGAAGTGAGTACACCCCCTCACATTTTGTAAATATTTAAGTATATCTTTTCATGTGACAACACTGAAGAAATGACACTTGGCTACAATGTAAAGTAGTGAGTATACAGCTTGTATAACAGAGTAAATAAGCTGTCTCCTCAAAATAACGCAACACACAGCCATTAATGTAATTAATACTATAATTAATAAATAATTAATACTGTCTTTGGTGTAAGCCGCCCAGAGTCCTCGGAGAGTGGGCGGCATAGAAATATGACTAATAAATAAATAAATAATAAATGTCTAAACTGCTGGCAACAAAAGTGAATACACCCCTAAGTGTTAATGTCCAAATAGGGCCCAAAGTGTCAATATTTTGTGTGGCCACCATTATTTTCCAGCACTGCCTTAACCCTCTTGGGCATAGAGTTCACCAGAGCTTCACAGGTTGGTCACTGGAAGTTCAACGTGGCACCTCATGGCAATGAACTCTCTGAGGATCTGAAAAAATGAATTTTTGCTCTACATAAAGATAGCCTAGGCTATAAGAAGATTGCTAAGACCCTGAAACTGAGCTGCAGCACGGTGGCCAAGACAATACAGTGGTTTAACAGGACAGGTTCCACTCAGAACAGGCCTCGCCATGGTTAACCAAGAAGTTGAGTGCCCATGCTCAGTGTAATATCCAGAGGTTGGCTTTGGGAAATAGACATATGAGTGCTGCCAGCGTTGCTGCAGAGGTTGAAGGGGTGGGGAGTCAGTCTGTCAGTGCTCAGACCATACGCCGCACACTGCATCAAATTGGTCTGCAGGGCTCTCGTCCCAGAAGGAAGCGTCTTCTAAAGATGATGCACAAGAAAGCCTACAAATGGTTTGCTGCAGACAAGCAGACTAAGGACATGGATTTCTGGAACCATGTCCTATGGTCCAATGAGACCAAGATAAACGTATTTGGTTCATATTGTGTCAAGCATGTGTGGCAGCAACCAGGTGAGGAGTACAAAGACAAGTGTGTCTTGCCTACAGTCAAGCATGGTGATGGGGATGTCATGGCTTGGAGCTGCATGAGTGCTGCCTGCACTTGGGAGCTACAGTTCATTGAGGGAACCATGAATGTCAACATGTACTGTGACATACTAAAGCAGAGCATGATCCCCTCCCTTCAGACACTGGGCCGCTGGGCAGTATTCCAACATGATAATGACCGCAAACATACCTCCAAAACTACCATTGCCTTGCTAAAGAAGCTGAGGGTAAAGGTGATGGACTGGCCAAGCATGTCTCCAGACCTAAACCCTATTGAGCATCTATGGGGCATCCTGAAACAGAAGGTGGAGGTGTGCAAGGTCTCTAACATCCACCAGCTCTGTGATGTCATGGAGGAGTGGAAGAGGATTCCAGTGGCAACCTGTGAACCTCTGGTGAACTCTATGCCCAAGAGGGTTAAGGCAGTGCTGGAATAATGGTGGCCACACAAAATATTGACATTTTGGGCCCCATTTGGACATTATCACTTAGGAGTGTTCTCACTTTTGTTGCCATCAGTTTAAACATTAATGGCTGCATGTTGCGTTATTTTGAGGGGACAGCACATTTACATTGTTATACAAGCTGTATATTCACTACTTTACATTGTAACCAAGTGTCATTTCTTCAGTGTTGCCACATGAAAAGTCATACTTAAATATTTACAAAATGTGAGGGGTGTACTCACTTCTGTGATATACTGTATGTCCACAAGACATAAACCTTGTCAACTGTCCTAGTAGGAACCCCTTTGTCCTTATTTTCACTTCTCTGGTCACAGCAGAATAAACACTTGGAATTGATTTCACCCCCTGCTTGGTGGAGTATGAGAAAAGCAGACAGCAGGTTCCGTGCAACTGATATTTCTTTGGCTAGTCTTCCCACTTTGGGGGATTGATGGAGCAAAGCAACTGATGTTGCCAGGATTTTGTAAACATAATAAAGCAATTTTTTTAAAAAAAATTTCCTTTTGGTGAAGTCTCAGAACTAAGTTCTATATTTTTTATGTATCTCCCCTTTCCCTCTGCCCAATTCCCTGCATTGCCAAAATGTAGTCTAACAATCTTTTTACTGTAGCCATACATGAAAGCAAATATATTTCTATATTATGACGAATTTATGTCCACTATAAGCTTTCATTGGTTGGTATAATTGGCATTTGCCTACTGACAATGTGCCAAAAGATTTGACTTAAAGGAAAACTTATACATCTCTCAGAATTGGCATTAAGCACTGTCTATATATTCTTGGACATCGGTACTGCCACTTGTTAAGAGCACTGGATATAACACAAATCGGTACAAGTACCAAATATGACCACGTGACTATGTGGTCTATGTGACTATGTGAACTCAGATGTAAGAACAGAGATGTGACTAAAGAGCGGCCCTAAAGGAAACACCTAAGAGATGAAATAAGTTTCTGATAGCTGGAAAGCTATGGATCCAGACTGATGAAATAATCAAAATTATGTTACCTCTTAATAATAGGATATTTATGTCAGAATCCGATTGTTGGACATCAGTTATTTCTAGTGGTTTCATCAATGGGGCTCTTCTGTTTGAATTAGAGGATGATTTTATATTATGCAAGGATTTCATAACCGTCTT